AAGTACATGTGTATCGCTGGGTATAGTATCGTCTGCGAAAATTATCGATATATTGTGAATCATGGCATGTGCAGGATTAATTATATAGGATTCAAATAGAAATGAAAAACAGACATCACAACACATTATTGTAATGAAATACCTTGCTAATTTACCAAGCAGATCTGTGCAACATTACCCGTAAACCGGTATATACAGGTACAGTATCTCGCGATACAGTTATCGCCATATAGTTCAGATTGTGCAATATATTGGGTCATTTAGAGTTAGCTCCCTTTGAATTATCTGCCCTTGATTTCCATACCATCAAAACGTGCCCTAAAAGTGCCAAATATACTTTAATTTCTGTTGGTTTCTTGTAACATTTTACAAGTGGAAATGTCTTTATAAGTGGCTCTAAAGGTTCCCAATATTCTACCAAATGCTTTAAGTTTCGTAGGTTTGAATGGTTTTATATGTGACGTTTTGGATGAATTAAGTGGCCTCAAATGGACCAATCTTTGAAGAAAAGCGAGATTAAAGGATGCCAACTTCTTGTTGTGAATACCACGACGTATCGGAATGTATGTTCACTCACTCCTTCATCAGATCAGGAAGGAGCAAGCATACAGTCCGAAACGTCGGGCTCTTCACAATAAAGAAGTTGACATCCATAAATCTTGCTTTTCTTATGCATTCCACTTCTAAATGCCCTTCAAAGATTTGAACAATCTTTTATTTGGATTTATTAGTACAGCTTCTGGTTCTGAGTGACCATTTTGTTTGTTTTATAATGGGACATATTTTATCAATTTATCGAAAAGGCCAAAATCTTATATATTTTGTACTACTGTATAATGACATTCTTGTCAAGGATCTAAGTTATTGGAGGTCACATGAAGTTTTAAGCTTCAAGTAGTTCACCTGAATCATATTTTTTTTTCATTTTGCAATAGTTCTTGTTATCATCATGTTATAGTATTACCCTTATCATCATGTTATAGTATTACCCTTATCATCATGTTATAGTATTACCCTTATCATCATGTTATAGTATTACCCTTATCATCATGTTATAGTATTACCCTTATCATCATGTTATAGTATTACCCTTATCATCATGTTATAGTATAACCCTTATCATCATGTTATAGTATAACCCTTATCATCATGTTATAGTATTACCCTTATCATCATGTTATAGTATTACCCTTATCATCATGTTATAGTATTACCCTTATCATCATGTTATAGTATTACCCTTATCATCATGTTATAGTATTACCCTTATCATCATGTTATAGTATTACCCTTATCATCATGTTATGGTATTACCCTTATCATCATGTTATAGTATTACCCTTATCATTATGTTATAGTATTACCCTTATCATCATGTTATAGTATTACCCTTATCATCATGTTATAGTATTACCCTTATCATCATGTTATAGTATTACCCTTATCATCATGTTATAGTATTACCCTTATCATCATGTTATGGTATTACCCTTATCATCATGTTATAGTATTACCCTTATCATTATGTTATAGTATTACCCTTATCATCATGTTATAGTATTACCCTTATCATCATATTATAGTATTACCCTTATCATAATGTTCGCAAACTTTTGTTGCAATGCAGTACTTCAAGTAAACATTCTACATTGAGACTCTATATCATTTGATGTATCTGTAAACCACTGACATACAACCATACACAATGGGGACAGGGAGCCTGAAGGTTGGTACGTTGTAACAGCAACTTAGAAGATGATGTCGCACACAGAGAGGTATTATGAATTTATGATGTACGCACTTGGACAGAAACCATCCAGTCAATATACCACAAATTAATGAATGTGTATTGCTATATCTATTAAATTACTGCAATATACCGCAATATGAGCATCAGGGCAATATCCAGCCCTATTACCAAGCTCCCGAAACCGTGAAAAGAACGGAGCGCTTTGGAGTGAAGTAGAGTGAGAGGAGAGAGTGAGTGAGTGAGTGAGTGAGGGAAGGAGGGAGGGAGGGTTGGTTTCTGGCACTCCAAGGGTTCTCAACTCTGCCAAGCGATTTCATAGCTTTTAATATCATAATGATAACATTCCATTTGTATGGCTTCCGGAGAAGAATATCACGTTCAAAGGCGACCTAAACTCTCTTTGAGGTGCTGGATGGTTAAGTGATATTACCATCTCATTCTATAATAATAATAATAATAATAATAATAATAGGCCATTTATATAGCGCCTTTCCACGTCAAAGGGATATGCTCAAAGCGCTTCCTCAGCTCAAGTTAAAACTATATACAGCTGGCAGTTACAGTAAGGTGAGGTGAGGTGAAATTGGTTTTACGTCGCACTTGAGAATATTTCGCTCATATGACGAAGTGCATGCGTGTGTATGTGTATGTGCGGCTGCTTGTACTAGCCCAGACTTAAGCTGGTTTTATAGTGCTAGCCCACTGAGATACCATGCCGCGGTGAAGCATGAATACCCCACTCAGACACATTATACTGACTCCGAGCCGACGAGACCTTGTTGTACCCATTAATGCCGAGCGCCAGGCAGGGACCAACAAGTACCATATTTTAACGTCTTTTGGTATGACGCGGTCGGGGATCGAACCCGCGACCTTTCGCTCTCCGGGCGGACGCTCTAGCAACTACACCACGGAGGTGGTCCACAGAAAGGTGGTAGCTGTTACACTAGCATCACAGTAAGGCGTTAGCTGTTACACTAGCATCACAGTAAGGCGTTAGCTGTTACACTAGCATCACAGTAAGGCGTTAGCTGTTACACTAGATTCACAGAAAGGTGATAGCTGTTACATTAGCATCACAGTAAGGTGTAAGCTGTTACACTAGCATCACAGTAAGAAGTTAGCTGATACACTAGCATCACAGTAAGAAGTTAGCTGATACACTAGCATCACAGTAAGAAGTTAGCTGTTACACTAGCATCACAGTAAGAAGTTAGCTGATACACTAGCATCACAGTAAGAAGTTAGCTGATACACTAGCATCACAGTAAGATGTTAGCTGATACACTAGCATCACAGTAAGAAGTTAGCTGTTACACTAGCATCACAGTAAGAAGTTAGCTGATACACTAGCATCACAGTAAGAAGTTAGCTGATACACTAGCATCACAGTAAGAAGTTAGCTGATACACTAGCATCACAGGAAGATGTTAGCTGTTACACTAGCATCACAGTAAGAAGTTAGCTGTTACACTAGCATCACAGTAAGGCGTTAGCTGTTACACTAGAATCACAGTAAGATGTTAGCTGTTACACTAGCATCACAGTAAGGCGTTAGCTATAGCTGTTACACTAGCATGACAGTAAGGTGTTAGATGTTACACTAGCATGACAGTAAGGCGTTAGCTGTTACACTAGCATCACAGTAAGGCGTTAGCTATAGCTGTTACACTAGCATGACAGTAAGGTGTTAGATGTTACACTAGCATGACAGTGAGGCGTTAGCTGTTACACAAGCATCACATGAAGGCGTTAGCTGTTAAACTAGCATCAGAGCAAAGCGTTAGCTGTTACAGTAGCATCACAGTAAAATGCTAGCTGTTACACTAGCATCACAGTAAGATGTTACCTGTTCCACCAGAATCACAGTAAGGCGTTAGCTGTTACACTAGCATCACAGTAAGATGTTAGCTGTTACACTAGCATCACAGTAAGATGTTAGCTGTTACACTAGCATCACAGTAAGATGTTAGCTGTTACACTAGCATCGCAGCAAGGTGTTAGCTGTTACACTAGCATCACAGTAAGATGTTAGCTGTTACACTAGCATCACAGCAAGGTGATAGCTTTTACACTAGCATCACAGTAAGGCGTTAGCTGTTACACTAGCACCACAGTAAGGTGTTAGCTGTTACACTAGCATCACAGTAAGGCGTTAGCTGTTACACTAGCATCACAGTAAGATGTTAGCTTTTACACTAGCATCACAGTAAGATGTTAGCTGTTACACTAGCATCGCAGCAAGGTGTTAGCTGTTACACTAGCATCACAGTAAGATGTTAGCTGTTACACTAGCATCACAGTAAGGTGTTAGCTGTTAGACTAGCATCACAGTAAGATGTTAGCTGTTGCACTAGCACCACAGTAAGATGTTAGCTGTTAGACTAGCATCACAATAAGATGTTAGCTGTTACACTAGCATCACAGTAAGGTGTTAGCTGTTACACTAACATCACAGGAAGATGTTAGCTGTTACACTAGCATCACAGTAAGGCGTTAGCTGTTACACTAGCATCACAGTAAGGCGTTAGCTGTTACACTAGCATCACAGCAAGGCGTTAGCTGTTACACTAGCATCACAGTAAGAAGTTAGCTGTTACACTAGCATCACAGTAAGATTTTAGCTGTTACACTAGCATCACATGAAGGCGTTAGCTGTTAGACTAGCATCACAGTAAGGCGTTAGCTGTTACACTAGCATCACAGTAGGATGTTAGCTGTTAGACTAGCATCACATTAAGATGTTAGCTGTTACACTAGCATCACAGTAAGATGTTAGCTGTTACACTAGCATCACAGTAAGGTGTAAGCTGTTACACTAGCATCACAGTAAGATGTTAGCTGTTAGACTAGCATCACATTAAGATGTTAGCTGTTACACTAGCATCACAGTAAGATGTTAGCTGTTACACTAGCATCACAGTAAGGTGTTAGCTGTTACACTAGCATCACAGTAAGGTGTTAGCTATTACACTAGCATCACAGTAAGATGTTAGCTGTTACACTAGCATCACAGTATGGTGATAGCTGTTACACTAGCATCACAGTATGGTGTTAGCTTTTGATATTACTATAGTGTTGGAGTATGGTTTTAGCTATTACTTTAATGCTATGTTATGGTTTAAGCTACTGTGTTAGTGTCACAGTATAGTTGGAATTGAACTGCCTGTATGTTTCTGGATGTTTTTTAAGCAGATACAAAAGCGAGAAAGAACAAACCCTATTTATCAAATGAAATCTTTTGTTTCAGTGAATCCAAGTGAATCCGAGTTAATGGATGCAGGAAACTATGATGACAGGTAGGAATCCAAATTCCGCCAATAACGATAGTCTGGTAACACGTAACCAGGAACCTGTAACTATAAGATGGAGGTTCCTCGACCTTTCATACATCTATAGTATCATTGAAACCTGTTGTTGAGGCTGTTCCACGGCCTTCATACATCTATAGTATCAGTGTAACCTGTTGTGGAGGGTGTTCCTCGACCTTCCATACATCTATAGTATCATTGTAACCTGTTGTGGAGGGTGTTCCTCGACCTTCCATACATCTATAGTATCATTGTAACCTGTTGTGGAGGGTGTTCCTCGACCTTCCATACATCTATAGTATCATTGTAACCTGTTGTGGAGGCTGTTCCTCGACCTTCCATACATCTATAGTATCATTGTAACCTCGACCTTCCATACATCTATAGTTCATTGTAACCTGTTGTGGAGGGTGTTCCTCGACCTTCCATACATCTATAGTATCATTGTAACCTGTTGTGGAGGGTGTTCCTCGACCTTCCATACATCTATAGTATCATTGTAACCTGTTGTGGAGGGTGTTCCTCGACCTTCCATACATCTATAGTATCATTGTAACCTGTTGTGGAGGGTGTTCCTCGACCTTCCATACATCTATAGTATCAGTGTAACCTGTTGTGGAGGGTGTTCCTCGACCTTCCATACATCTATAGTATCATTGTAACCTATTGTGGAGGGGTGTTCCTCGACCTTCCATACATCTATAGTATAGTATCATTGTAACCTGTTGTGGAGGGTGTTCCTCGACCTTCCATACATCTATAGTATCAGTGTAACCTGTTGTGGAGGGTGTTCCTCGACCTTCCATACATCTATAGTATCATTGTAACCTGTTGTGGAGGGTGTTCCTCGACCTTCCATACATCTATAGTATCAGTGTAACCTGTTGTCGAGGCTGTTCCTCGACCTTCCATACATCTATAGTATCATTGTAACCTGTTGTGGAGGGTGTTCCTCGACCTTCCATACATCTATCACTACAAAAATAAGTTGGTTTCCGGAACACTGAAACTGAGAAGAAACGACATGGAAACCAACCATTTCCAGTGGGTTTCCAGGTAGCTTCCTATAGTTTCATTGTGGTTTCCATGAAAACTGAAACTGAATTTTGCACCATTTCGGGTTGGTTTCCAGTCCGATTCATTATCCACTCCTCCATGTCGGATCCAGCTGGTTTCCGTGTTTTCGTTTATGGTAGGTTTCAACCTGGTTTCCATGTTTTAGTTTGTTGTAGGTTTCAACCTAGTTTCCATTAAATCTGAAACTACATTTTGCACCAGTATCTGGATGGTATCCATGTCGGGACTTTGCCCACTCGTCCATGGAGGCTCCTGCTGGTGCTTAGTTTATTGTTGTTTCCAACCTAGCTCCCAGCTTATAACCTGGTTTCCATGAAACTGAATCTGTTGTGCCGGCCCCTTACCCACTCCTCCAGGAAAGAGGTTGTGTTTCACGCAACACACATACCAGATCAGGTCTTTTATACAATTGCACTATGGTAAAACCGTCAGGATGACAAATAACAGAATAAAACACAAAGTAATGATAGGTTTATTTACATGCAACAATTTGTTGATAAAAAATGATATTTGGAATGTTCACATTAATAAAAACTGAATTTTCAAAATGCATAAATAATTAAAAGCAATAAGGGAATAAATAGCATTGAGTATGGAATGTTTTCCTAAACTCATCAATGTAGATGAATCCATATTATTTGGTTTCCCAATTTTAGAAATGTTGACTCTTTCTCCAAGAGAGGAAGAACTTTCTGCGTATTCTTCTCCGACAAGTCAATCGCTGTCAGGACCTTCTTCCTGCTTCCCGCTTCTGAAGGTTAGAAAACAATAAACAATCAGTACAAACAAGCATTCGTCAACAATATCGCTAGCTGGAGAAAGGAAACACTGATGTTGCATATAATGAAAGGCATTGCCTGTTTTGTAAATTAAATGGTATCTTCGTTGTTGAAGATGAATGGCATGTGTTTTATACCTGTGACGCATATTCTCATATCAGAAATAAGTACATATCAAAATATTTTAGTAAATGTCCATCAATTATTAATTTTATATCAATATTACAGAGTAAAAATGTTAATATTATCAAGGATGTATGTCTATTTTTATACTTTGTTGACAAGAAACACAAATCTAAATGAAATATATATGTGCTCTACTTATCATCAATTTATGTACATGTATTTTGGGCCGGAGGCCTGTTACTGAAATAAAATTCTGTTCTGTTCTGAAAGTAAAACTGTCCAATGTTCCTTAAGCTTGAGGAAAAATAAACTGTAACCACTGTCCAATAAGCACGAAGTTCAATAAATCAAAACTGATCATTTGACCTGAAAAGTGACAAAAGTTTCAATCGCAGAAAAACTTAGTGAAATTTGTAGTAGAGAGACAAGCGAGAGAAGGACAGATTTTAAGAAAACATTGACATTGAATTAATAACATCTCTTAGGAATGCACACTAAATTCATACTATCATTGCCTTATATTTCCGAGGAATTCTCATGTGAAAGCTATCACTTATTTTCTGAATGTTACATACATTATGCTTTGATATTATATGTATAGAACTACGAATTATCCATTATTTTGAAAACAATGTGAAAAAAAATTCTGGGTTTGAAAAATAATGTGGGGTCATTCTGGCAGACAAGAAATTGAATTGGTCATATGCGGACCTCCATAACTAATATCTCATACTGCTGTTGACAATGTATTTGCAGCTACTATTTAGTGGGGTGTTGTTAATAAATTGTTAATTGATGTGTACAAGGTGAAATATGTCCAGACCAAAACATAATGTACATTGGCGCTTTACTATGTACTATTTAAAACTCATTTAGTTGCATATTTCTAATTATACATTGCACATATCAAACAAGTGTTTATTTTAAAAGTTCTTTGGAATATCAGTGTACATTTTCAAGAAATTACATTAACTTGATTTTTTTTCAAATAAGGTTTTCCTTAAATTTTAACCGGTGTAAGATTAGAATTGAGAACGATTAGAATTTACTTACACATATGAATCTTTTGTTGTTCTTTGCGGACAAAGGCCTCTGCTTTCCCCCTTCTTTGTCTTCTAGGTGAACGAACTCTCTTGTTCGTCCAAAACCGCCAAACTGCTTCTGAAAGGAGATGTGTATACGTGTACAATATTTCAAGTTGGAAGTTACGAAAAAAGCGCTTGTGTAATTTTTAAGTATTTTTCTGATTCACAGGATTTGCATTATTTGGATAATTTTATGTACATCATTTACTGAAGGGTCTGGATTACACATACCTGTTGCAGGTCAAGATCAGTTAGTCATCTTCAGATTTTCCAACACTGCCCCAATGGAATGCTGGAAATGTAGAAATTAAAAAAACAGTTTCCAAAAATATTGTGTTGACAATTTATCCACTTACAGCATTATAGTATCATGATAGATATCGTCATAAAAGTTGGCTGAATTTTTTTTTGTCCATTTTTTGTGTCATAGGCTGTCTTGTAACTCTAATAACTAGACAGAACTTTTTTTTGAAACTTCACTCTAACCATGCACCAAATCTGGTCAGAGAATTCCTTCAAATGCCCAAATGTATTGCTTTCAGTGGTACAAATATCAAAAGCAATTTTCAATAACTTTAAAATAGAACTTCCAATCATTGGATTTCTTGCAATAATATTCGAATTCTTCTAAATACGTTTGGAAGTTATCTTGAGTCGTGACATTGCTGGATATATTTGTGGTTCATTTTGTTTCTTGCAAAAATAATATTTCATACATTACGATAATGAACCATTTAGTCGTATGTGACCTGATCCAAATCTTAATCGAGTCCTTGAGTTGACTAAGTGAAGGAAGCCATATCTCTTGCCAAAACTACGACACGCAATTGCCTATCGAGTTCCATCAAGCCTAAAATTTTAATTTCATATTTATTGTCCTATCTACTTATGTACATTAATCGTTACACATAGCATGAGCTATTGCTTAATTCAAGAAATTTACACTGTAAATGACATAGTCGTGGAATGTTCCATTTCTCCCTCCGCGATCGACGACTGCTCCTGTCTTTCACGTACCCGAGCCTCCAAAGCTCCTAGTGTAACTCGCATTGCCATTTTCTTGATTCAGATAACATGGACAAGCGAAGGAATAATTCATTGTGCTGGGTTCCTTGTTCTGTTAAAAACGGGAGACACTTTGGCCCACTTTCAAAACAACTTCTCATGATCAAGTGACAAAATGGCGGCAATTGTGTGTAGGGACATTGTGGGTAATAACAAATACCTAATCCCTTTTCGATTGGCAGGTATGGAAACATTCTTTGACCCAATGTGGTTGTGATTTCAAGACATAAAAGACGAAAATGACCACTTCAGTACATAAAACCATTGTTTTATTAAATGTCACGAGTTCGCGCGTGCCCACGGAGTACCGACTCATTACTTCTACAGCAATTTAATTTTGATAACAGGTGCCCGTTAAGACGAGACAACCCCACGGAAGCCGACACACAGACCCCGACATACAAATGACATGACACTGATTGTTTGTCAAGTACTTGAACTCACTGTCAAAGCTTAAGCATACTAACTTTAAATGCTTTTAATGGTAAACATTACTCACAACCTCTATTCATAGTACAATTCCCTGATATTCTAGTTATTGAGAAATCCGTAATGTATGTACCGGATTGACAGTTGTTTGAATTACATTATTCTAAACTTCCTAAATGCTTATACTCTTTTACATTCTAAAGCAAACATAATTAAACCGATTTTTCTCTCATATTTCACTTTTTGACGTTTAAGATTTTCCATTACTACAGTGAAAATTGTTACTCATCGTAAAATATCATCCATCTATTTAGATTTTAAAACTTTCCCATCATATGAAATGCCAGGATGGTAAACTTCATGCCAAATACTTGCATATTTTAAGTTACTCAGTTCAAAACAGTGCACAGGGAAGCAACATGAAACT